CTATTTTATTACGTAAGCTGCGTGCATTCTCGTAGAAACACTTGACTCTTCTCTGCCTTTCCTGCACACCAGTACGCGGCGGTCTAAGGCTGTTCGTAGTGGCTGTCTCTTGCTCGTGATCCCTTGCCCCCCCCCCCTTCTACAACCCTAAAAAAGTATCATTTTCCTTCATGATAGCCAATCCGACTGCTCCCCTTTCAAAGGCTCCTCTTTCGAAAAATGTACTCCATCCCTAGCCATCGGATTTTTACAGCGACTCAAAGTGTCCAGAAACACTCCCCCCTCCGCGATGCATAACTCCTTCAACCTGTCGTTAACTCCTTCCGACCCGGACCACGTGATTCCTCCCTTGTCTAGCCTGCTCGGGATCGCGCATACCGTCACCCGCACCCCCTGACCCTTCCTCCCGACACGCCCTAATAGCCTGCCTCAGCCTGCCCATGATTATTTCAGAGCCAGCCTTGGGAGTATCGTTAGTCCCTACGTGAAGGATCACCGACACTTCTTCGGCTGACTCGGAGCACACCGCCGATCCGATTCTATCCCTAATGTGTTCAATCCTAGCACCAGGAAACTGACTGAAAGAAACCTGAGCTCCTGAATCTTTTTCCATCGCTCCCTCAAGACGCCTGACGTTCGAGTCACCGACGATTACAAGGGCCCGAGTTTTCCTCTCCTTTCAACACGGCCTGAGCTTGTCCTGCCGACCTCACACCTGTTCCCACCCCGCCCTCCGTTCTCTCATCCAAGCTGACCTCCCTCAACCCGAGAAACTTGTTTTCGATCTTAATGACTGCCTCCTGGGATCTCTTAACCTTCCCCCCCTTTACGACTTGAGCTCAATTACTAGCCGCCTGGGAGTCGGCACTCGACGTGCTGTCAAAGGACGAAAGGGCCACCCTCCCAGAAAAGTCCGGAAGGCTGGGGAACCCCCAGAGTGCCTCCCTAACTAGCCTCGCTACTAAATCATCCTTCTGTATCTCGCCCACCTCCTTCCTGATCCCTCTTATCTCCTCCTCCACACTAATGAGCCTTCCCGATAGCTCCCCTAGTCGTTCCTCCAAGCTACAAACTCTGCATACATGGCATACCTCTTGTTCACTAGTCCCACCTACCCAATCCCCGGACCGAATGCATCTACACATCCTAGGCGTCTTACTTAATGCTATTGATCCCTACTTACACCTATGCTGCTTTAGATTTATACTTTGCAGTACTTCACACTAGTTGTAACCCGGTAAGACAGTACTGTTCTAGTCCTTGTAGTAAAAGGAATGAATTAAAGTAATTAAGCTGTTTGATACTGATCTAATGTGAAGTTGGAGAAAACGATCAGAAAACTTATGAATACTGCTACAAAGTGGCCAGGTAACTACTGTCTCACGACTTAGCTGACAGAACCTCGAGAGTATCCTCCAACAGGTCCTCACACTACGAACGCTAGACCAAGACTGAATTATTTGTGTGGCCCTCCTCTCCATCCCATCGAGAGTCAACAATTCACCCTTACTGTTGGCCTCCAAAACTGGAAACAATATTCCAATTGCGGTCGCACCAGCGCCGCACACAACGGAAGAATAACGCGCGAGTTCCTCCTTGCAACCGAACGACGAATGAAACCCAGAATCCGGCTGCATCTGGCCACCTTCGCTCGCGCGTGCGAGGAAAACTTGAGGTCTTCATCGACAGAAACTCCTATATCTCTCCCTCCGTTTCCCTCCCCCAGTTCATCCTCGCCGAACGCGTCGAGAGACCTACCGTTATTTCCACCGACGTGGAGAACTTTACACTCGCTTTTATTAAAGCTCATGAGCCATTTCTTGCTCCACTCGTCCAAGAGACTGTAATCTCATTCTCACGTATGTGCTTGTTAGAGGCTCTCACTCCGCTTGTTAGAGAGAACGATGTCAAGGAGAATGACGACCAGCGAAAAATCATATCCACTGGAGCCGTCGAAATAATTAATTTGCCGTTTACTCGACTCGATTCAGAGTGCTGCCCAAATCAGAGAAGACGGAGTTCAGAGAAGGCTATCAAGAAGCACGGATTCAAGTCATGTTATCCATAGCCTATTCGGCAGGCATAGGAGGGACCGGGACCATCACGGGGACCGCGACCAATCTCATCTTCATGGCGATCTTGGATGAGTACGTTTGCATTTGCCTTGGGCTCTTTGCTCGCTCGCGACATAAATACAGGGTGGTGCATAAATACCTCCGGGGTTGTAAGAGGAAGTAAAAGACTCACGACAAATGACTCCATACTGGCATCTGTTCCCATGGCATCCTGTGGGAATTTTAATACAATCACATAGGTGGGTCATTTGTGGAAAATGACGTCACTAAGGTGGCCGCCATCGCGCTCGACACGTTCTCACGCGCGGTCCACGACATCGTGCACGACACGATGTTGCACGACACGCTGTAACATCGCGATGGGCACAGTGGTTACTTTTTCCTGAATGCGATTTTCCAAAGCCTCAGAGGTTCCTGTGTCGGCGGAGCGATCGGCCCGTACTGTTTCGAGAACGACTATGCAACAACGATGCGACGATGCATCGACGCTGCACGCTACGTCCAAATGTTCCAGTCGTTTTTCGACGTGGAGATTCGTCGGTGCGACCTTTCGTCCTGGAATGCGGTTCCAGCAGGATAGGGCGACGGCCCGCACCGCCCGCTTCATAGGCCATCACGGTCACCGAACCTAACAGCTTCTGATTTTTTTTTTTTGCGAGGATATCTGAAGAGCAAGGTGTGCAAAACACTCCCTACAATCTTGGCGGCTCTGGAAAATCGCATTCGGCTGGAAAAAGTAACCACTGTGCCCGTCGCGATGTTGCAGCGTGTCGAGAAGCATCGTGTCGTGCACGATGCCGTGGACCTCGCGCGAGAACGCGTCAAGCGCGATGGCGGCCACTTCAGTGACGTCATTTTCCACAGGTGACCCACCTATGTGATTGTCTTAGAATTTCCACGTGCCCAGGCTGCCATGGGAATAAGTATCAATATGAAGTCATTTGTAATGAGTCTTATTTCCTCTTTCAATCCCGGAGGTATTTATGCACCACCCTGTATTTGAATTCTGTGTTCGGGGTGTCTGAGACGGCGAGTCTCGTAAGATGGACTATTATTCCCTTTCACCTCGCCATCTCACGGGAGGGATGCAAGGCAGATAAGAGTACCTCTGGATTTTCAGGCTCTACGGACCCGACACGGGACTGAATTACGGGACTTGGATGGCCTTCAGCGTCCCGGGATTGTTACTCAACGCCTTCATCGCCTGGCTCTGGCTTCAGGCCCTTTTCTTCTTCGCTCAGTGAGTCATGTTTTCTACAACTGGACCTGCGATTTTCGCGATGGATTAGCATCAGGTGCGACGTGCAGGTGGAGGGAACGCCGAAAGCATCCGGAGAGGCAGAATCAGAGCAAAGCGGAGTGCGAGGAAGAATTGGCGCAGGAGGAAAGAGCGGCTCGAGCAGTGATTTGCAAGAAATATTCGGAATTGGGATCCATGTCCTTCCACGAATTCATGACCCTTTCCTTGTTCATCACCCTCGTTCTGCTCTGGCTCTCCAGAGATCCTCAGTTCGTCCCCGGATGGGCCGCCTGGATCAAGGGAGACCGGTATTTAATGTCTTGTCCTCATCATTTTCTCGCCATCTTCCAGCTCTCTTTCTCTGTGAATTCCTCAACATGCAGTAAACGGATATATTGTTTCCCAGGGATCTTGGCATCGGAGATGGAACCGCTGCGATGCTCATCGTCTTCGTCTTCTTCATAATTCCCGCGAAACCCGACTTCTGGTGCTTCCATGATTCTTCCGGTAAATGGTATCACTAGTCTTAACCAAAATATTTCATTTTATGCAGCAGTTTCGAATGAATTCGTTGCATGCATTATAGACTCGCCGTCGAAGTCGAGCGAGGCCCTGCTCAACTGGAGGGTCCTCCACGAGAAGATGCCCTGGGGATTGCTCCTCCTCATCGGAGCGGGATTCGCGATAGCCAAGGCCTCCGAGGCATCCTGCTTGTCCTATTGGGTGGGCCAGCAGATGGCAACCCTGGGGTACTTGTCTCCGGCCGCCCTCGTCTTCATCATGACTATCATGACGACTTTAATAACGAATGTGGCTTCCAACACAGCCACTGTTACCATCGTCATGCCTGTCCTTGCCCAGCTTGTACGAAACCTCTCCATTCTACTGTTGTAACTAGTCTGGGCCTGCATCCGTGCGCAAGGGCCATATTTCCAACGCAGTTTCCGTCTGTTTTGTCTTGTTCGTCTATACAGGGTTTCCATTAAGTTCCCCTCTATTCTCATGAAAAACAATGAATTTCCTTTACATTCCGGGTTTAATCATTGGAAATTGATAGACATTGAAATGGATCACTTAAGCATTGTTTCATCAAGAATGTCCACCTCACACCTCGGCATATCTCGACATTATTGCCACCGGTCGAAGGGTAGCTTTTGAACACGTTGGGAAGCACTGCCGGTGATATGGATTCAACTGAAGCATTCGGATTTTACGATCCTTCAAGTAGTGAACTTTGCTCCTGTAAGCCTGCAACTTGATGAAACGCCACAAAGAAGTCCTTTGGTGTCAGTTCCAGCTACCGCGGCGCCAATGGCCTGTCCCAACCTCAGCCTATCCACCGCTCAGGAAATCGAATTTTATCCTCTCTGGCACTGTTAGCATGGTGTGTTATTCAGTTATCTATTTATCATTTCGCCGATGTAGAACTGATCTGTCGAGTAAAACTGAAATTTAAATGAAAATGATCATTTTTATCTAAATAGGTGCTTCTTGATGAAACAAAGGTTATGTGATTTAATTTTATCCATTTCAATAATTGAACCTGAAATGTAAAGGAAATTCATGGTTTTTCATGAAAATAGATAGGGACTTTATGGACACCCTGTATAATGCAGAATAAACGTTATTTATTTTTCAAAAGTACTTTAAAAGACCTACCACTGCATCCCTCTGAAAAAGTCATTTGTTTTTCGTCCCCCTCTGGGTTTAGGCAAACGTGTTAAAGGTGAATCCTTTGTACCTGATGCTCCCATCAGCCATAGCCTGCTCGTATGCTTTCATGCTCCCAGTGGCCACCCCCTACAATGCCATCGTCTACGAAGTCTCGAAGATGAAGACCACCACTATGGTACGTCGCAGCCCTTACCCATCCCATACTCTCCATTCAGCAACAGATTTATTTTTCTTCCTCCCCCCCCCCCCCCCTCGCGATGCAGATGAAAGCCGGGGCTGTCATGAACGTGGTCTGCGTCTTGGTGATCAACATGACCATCAATACCCTTGGGAATTATATCTTCGACTTCTCCACGTTCCCTGAATGGGCAGTGACCGCCAGCAACTCCAGCGCTTCTTCCTCTCATTGCAACTACACTCTCTACTAGTGCCTTTTAGAAATTTTCACTTGTAATCTAGTCTCTCGTGACTTCTTTTCCAAGCGATAGTTTCTTTTACGAGTGTTTCATGGAAAGGATGAACGACACATTCTTATTTAGGCAGCAACCGAATCGGGAACTGCCGAGTGAACAGTCTTCCGCATTTTCGATCAGGAAGAGAACAAAATGATCGACGGGTACATGTTTGCATGCTGGGAGTGGAGATTTTGCTGTTGATTGCAGATTGAACAGCGTTGTTTTCCTTGGGAATTCAGGATCTCTGGCAGTTTTGACTCTGAGGTTGTTCGCGAGGGGGATTCGCCATGATTTTTGCTGGAAAGAACTGTGACAAGTTGGCCATCATCATTTAGTGGTTTGGCGTTAAATGGCGTTAAGAATGAAAATGCACTGATACAATCTTACAATCTCACAACACGTGCCACAAAAACGTCCCTCACTGCATAATTAGATTAATTGACTTGGCTTGCAGACCGATATTTTTTTCCGTGGGTCCTCTATATTTTAATTGGATCTCCAGAACGATGAGGAAGCTTGAACATTCTGCGTTTCGGAACTGGACTTTGAATCCCTTTTCTCCCAACTTCTTCGATGTACCGTAGTCTGGTAAAATCCCAGCGGAAAACATGCTGATCCTAAGACGCTCTCTTCATCAGCATCCTTTCCAGGCGTGTTTGTTTTTGTTTCCTTCCCCCCCCCCCCCCCACCC